ATAGACTTATGCCGAGATTATCTACCCTATATCATTCTGAGTGGGACATACCAGATGACTTACAAACAGTTTTGCCACCAGTCATGGACAGCAGGCTACCTAGTCGACCAAAAAATTACGATCGTATACCGCCTAAGGGTGAAGAGAAGAAGATATCGACATGTAGTCGGTGCAAGGAAAGTGGTCATACAATGTTAACCTGTGGATCACCAGTGCCATAACAATCATCTTTTCATCTACCAAAATATGGATCCTCATCAAAATCCAAAGCTCATATGGATCCAAGCAAAAGGAAATCAAAATCGCAATCAAAATCGCAATCACAACCGGCTTCACCTTTTGGGACATATTAACTTAGGTGATTTTTAAATGCAAACGATGTATTATGTGTATTTTATGTGTGAATGCATACATTTTCAGTTAGACATGCATTAGTAACTTGAGTTTGAACATTGCTATGTTCTGTTCAGTTGTTATCACTTATCAGATTGTTGTCTGTTATCTTTTTGAAGGTGTTTTCATTGAATTCGCAACGCGGAAGTCAAATTCATGTTGCGATTTTTGCGAAAATGTACCTTCAACAGGTCTTTTTTTTCCTTCAACATAATGCAGATTGAAATTTTCTTAAACAACAAATCAACTTTTACAAATCAATTAAACAAGCAAAAAATAATTCTTATTTACACATCTAAAAAAATAAATCAATAACACATTGATAAAATTAGCCCCAGACAGCAAATTTCACGCAGTTCACTTCAGGATTAACCTGTATAAACCAAATATTTGCTCAAACAACACTTTCTAAACATCTAAAACCAACAAACAACAAATTATTGAATTCTAGGTACTTAACCAAACATTTTCAAACCAACAAAAAGTATATATGTTAACAACACTTGCTCAAACTTACCAATAACAAATGGTTGTTTGTGCACACTTTCAGCACGCGGATGCATGTAGGCAACGTCTCAAATATATCGCTCTAGCCATAAAATGACGAAACCACAACCCTACTGCACCTCTATATGTATCTGTGTGAGGTAGAAACTGTTTACCTCATGTCGTCAAACGTTCCAAGCACATGCATACAAGAGGACCATAATCCCCTCTGGCTCTCGCCGTTTGTTGTGGCGCTGTCTCTTCTCTCATCATTGTAACTTTGAACTTTTTTGGCTTATTGTTTCCAGAATTAGTCCAATAATCAATCGCATCCAAGTATTTAGCTAAATGAGTGCTCCATCCCTTACAAATAATATCTTTCAAATCAGACAATGGTATGTAATTCAACATGTTGTCATATACTATTGTCTTCAGGGAAGGGAGATGAAGCTCGACGAGAAGCCAATGACGACGTTCCATAAAAGGGATAAACACCTGCAATCATAAATAATAATACAATTGCGCACATCAAATAAAATTTATGAACACCTTTAAAGTATTCAAAAATAAATATTAACCTTATAGACCTCCCACCATGTAGGATAAAGCTTAGATTTTCCATTACCCAACGCATATGAAGCGTCTCTCTGATTCTTCAAGTGAGCTACGTGAAAAGGCGAAGGCATAATAGTCCATTGCGTCTTTTTTTATTTTCTTCATTTTCCTTATAATCTGAAGACGTGACACCCATACATCAATATGCTGTGGATAAAAAAATACATATATTAGTGAATTTAATAAATTTAAAAAAAATAATCAAAATGCAATATAAGAAAAATATAAGACTTACCCCCCATTCAAAATAGCCATTCTCTTCAACCCCTAATAAAACACCCCACCAAGACCGATCAAGAAAGAAATACATACTATCGTCGATTTTGTATATGTCAGCGTAACACCCCTGGCTCCGCTCATGTAGATAAAAATCAACTGCGGTATTAGCCCAAAGGGTATTATCCATAATTGTGTCCGGTAGTTTTCTCCTTTCCTGCTGAGGAATGGTACTGCCTGATAACTCATACGAAAGCCAACTCTCATCCATCATATCGGGCACGCGAGGGGGTTTATCAATATGTCGACATAGTATGCCATGTGAATCGGGCTCTTGAACGGTGAGAGAGACCTCTTGAACGATGACAGGGGCCTCTTGAACGGTGGGAGGGGCCTCTTGAACGATGACAGGTGAATCGGGCTTCTTCTTACGGAGTCTTGGCACTATTGGGGTGAAAGAAGACGTAATGGCACGTGTACGATTTCTGATGCGTGAACCCCGTCATGCAAGAAAAACCCGACGTAAAGCATCTACCTTATCGGGCTGCTAAAAATAAATTAATACATAAATTAGTAAATAAATAAATAATGCCAAAAAAAGGTTATTTGCATTTTTAGTATAATATTAAACAAACTTACCTCATTGTGTAGAGTATGAACCTCATTCTGCAACGATGAAACAATTTCACGTAGAGCGGCTACCTCATCACGTAAAGTAGATACCTCACCATGTAAAACACCATTGTCATCGCGTAAAACATCTACCTCACCACGTAAAGACCGTACCTCATCACGCCATGCACCATTTTCATCACGTAAAGTACCGACCTCATCACGCAAATCACTGACCTCTTCACGTAACTCCCCTAACTCATCCCGTGGAGGTGGAGAACGGGGAGATAAATATCTTGGCATCTTTTCCGGTCGTCTATCATGAGGTGATGGTGGAGAAGAGACTCAATGATGTGATGAAATAGGTAATGGCTCTCGGTGTGGAGGTGTATAATCAGCTCGATCAGGTGATGGCTCTCGAAGTGGGGGGTGCTCATCATCCGTCCCATAAAAAAAAACACTTACTAGCTTGCCACCAATCAGTGGCAAGCTCAGCCTATTTGGGTGTCAGCCTCTGTAATGGATAGTTTGCCTCCTAACAATATAAAAGCTCAAACAAAGTCAAACGTCTACTAGTAATAACTTGTTTATATATGGTAGTATTTGTGTTAACTTACATCATTCATCGTTGTATATGGTAGTAAATCTTCTCAATCCATCAGCCGAATCCTCCTCCAAGTAATAGCCCTAGGAATATCATTTGAATTTTTTCTTGCATATGTATGCATGCTGGGAAAAGCCTCAAATATCCAAATCTACAAACAATATAATACACAAACATTAGTAATTGTTAAATAATTAATTATAATTTTGGAGACATTATATAGAAATTCTTACCTTAAAGGCCCAAATAAAGCCTACCAAAGTGTATTTGGAACCATCGCCACGCAAACTACGACGGTCCTCAAAGGCATACGACAACTTTTTCCAGGTAGCTTTCCATAGATATGAACCCCAGGGAAACACGTTCCATGTATTTAGGTCATCTACCAATAATATTAGGTCCTCAGAAATAGGTTATCTGATCTCTTTGCCTAAAAAGCCGGCATTTAAAAGTAATAAAAGACATACTCGAACAATATCAAGGTCATCCATCCGAGTAAAACCATCTTTAAAAAGTAATCTTTTCAAGTCGTCGACGTGTAAACTGGGCTTCGCCTTTGCTAGCTCAGGAAAAACCCGAGATAACCATGATACGCGGGCGATATGACTAGTGTACCAACCTACTTCATTGTGTCCAAAACGTAGACCAATGATTAAGCAAAACTCCTATTGCCCAAAACAAGTATACGCTGGTGGAAAATGAAACCATATCTCTTCATCACCACGTTGTATCCTCTCGGGTAGATCGTTAGTCATGCTCTGAAGAAACAAATGGGTCAACATAGCATCTCCACCTGGATGTTGTACTTTTAGCCATGGCCCGAAGCAAATATCCTCAAACAATTTTCTTTGTACAGGTGTAAGTGTCGACTCTATTGTATTGGCTAGGCTTAATTTATTCCTTAGAGTCAATGAAGCCGAAAAAAATTTCTAACAAAAACAATAAACATACAAAGTTAGATATACCAAAAACTACAAATTATACACTATAAACAGACATGATATTAAACAGTGAAAACAAAAGCCAAATATGTTTCAAACTAGCACGGTATTCACCCAAGTCATTATTTTATCATAGTTTTTTGGTTGAAGTAATGCAATTCATTCAAGTTTCAATTTGCATAAGAAGAGTAGTTTCTGAAACTTAAATTCGCAATGCGAAAATGAAAATCGCAACGTGAAACTAAAATCACATTGTGATTTTCGTGTTGCGAATTTTATTTTCGTGTTGCGAATTTAAGTTTCAAAATTCTTCTGCAAATTGAAATTTGAATAAATTGCATTACTTCAACCAAAAGACAAAACAAAGACAAATACTAACTTCACAGGATTAAAAACTAAACAGTTTAGCAGTATTGGCAGCAACCGAATGAATTTACTAAGCAATCTAAGTGAAATGGTTAATCTATATATTGAAATTACCAGTAAATTTATCATCAATTTAAATATGAAAAATCTAATAATAATACAAAAATTTCAAATTAAAAATAATTAAAAAAATAACCCTCGGTGATTGATTTTCTATTTGTGGCCGTGAATGGTTGTGAGGGTGGCTCTGAGAGATGGAGATAGACGGATTTCGTCGGAGATGAGGACGGATTTCGCCAGAGATGGGGACGGATGTCATCGTAGAAAGTGAGAGATGGAGATGAGACTGAGTTGTGATTTTGGGTTTTAGGTTATGAGTTACAATTATACTGTTTACATTTGTGTTGCGAAATTAATATTGTGTTTCGAATTTGAAAATAAAATTCGCTTTGCGAAAATAAACGCGTTTTGTGAATTTGACTTCTGTGTTGCGAATTTGGAAACTGTGTTGCGAAATTGGAGTTCGCGTTGCGAATTTGTTGGTCATTTTCACAAATCCAAAAAAAATTGATTAAAATCGTATATTATAAGACATTTTCGATCACTGAAATTATTTTCTCACTTGCAAATTAGACGAAGGTTTGAACTCGAGGCCAAATGCAAAATTTCGGGAACAATCTTTCAAAAACGTCTCTTAACTCTCGAATTGAGTTTCGATCGCCTTTTAACCAAATTTGGATTAATTGGACAAAATTAGGGTATCACAGTACCGAAAAATGCTCAGCAATGCAAAGTTCAGAATGTTGTGCAGTATGGTGGTCGGGTTATATAGAGTGAGTCGACCTTGCAGTTAAGGGAGGAAACTGCAGCCACGGTGTTGCAGGAAACTGGGGCTGCTCTTATCCATCCATATAATGATGGGCGCATTACAAGGTAGTACGCTGAACATTTCTGAGCTCTGAATGCTATAATTTAATGTTGTATCTGTGAATTAAATGATAGGAAATATTTTTCAGTGGGCAAGGTACAATATCCTTGGAGCTATTACAGCAATCCCCTCAGATAGACACTATAATTGTTCCCATAAGTGGTTTGTGTTTCAGGCCGTTCTCGTTGAATTTTATGGTTATTAGTCCTGCATGATCATCACCTTCTGTCTTATATTTTTTAGAATTTGCAGGAGGTGGCTTGACATCAGGGGTGGCATTGGCTGCCAAAAATCCATCAATCCTGCCCTTCGAATTTTGGATACTGAACCAAAGGGAGCTAATGGTGCAGCTCAATCAAAAGCAGTCAGTAGAATTGTAACCTTACCCAAAACGAACACGGTTGCTGATGGCCTGAGAGCTTTCCTTGGTGAACTCACCTGGTAAATGCATATCAATGGTGTCTTACTGATGCTTGAAGAATATTTTCCCTGTTTGTATATGTTTTCTTTTATCAAATTAGTGCACTGTATGTTTACTTTTTAGTCTATAAATTTCACTATGTCTCATTCTATGCCTCCTGATTGATTAGGACCGTAGTACGTGATCTTGTTGATGACATGATAACAGTTGATAATACGGAAATAACCGGTGCAATGAGACTCTGCTATGAGATTTTTAAAGTTGCAGTTGAACCAAGTGGAGCCATTGGCCTTGCAGCTGTCTTATCTGATAGCTTCAGGAACAACCCTGCCTGGAAGGATTGCAAACAAATTGGAATTATACTTTCAGGAGGTAATGTAGATCTTCAAGTGCTGTGGAATTCATTCAGAAAATGAAGGTTACATTGTTATTGCTACTCCTTTGAAAGCCTTTTATTTTTATCCTTTCAAATTGATCTTTGACCTCTAAATGCGGATGTGAAATCCAGTTACTTTGGTTGCAATTATTAGTCCTAGAATTCTCAATTCTACATAACCCTTTGAAGAGTTTCCCCTTGCGAAGTCTGATAGTGATTGGAATTTTACGTATCTGTGGGAAACTATCAATCCGAAGTCCGAACACCAGAAACAGGTCATTAATGGGAGTTAGAAGCAACAGGATTTTACATACGCAGAAATATCCAAATATCTTACAGGCTGCAAGAATGCTTTAAGCCTCTTCTTTCTCGTACTCATAGTCCCCATTCGATCTCAGTTTCATTCTCAGTTTCACTCGAACTGCAGTCAACCCGACAATAGATTAGCCTTCTGTTTAGCTGGAAAAGGGTCAATATACTTATTTCTCTTTCGTTCAACCACGTCACTATTGCTTGTTGAGACTTTCCCAGTAACCTTTCTCCCATTTCTTCACTTGCAATATTGAGTTGTTTTTTCTTCTAAGAAATGCTGCAAGAGCTCGAAGGTCATAAGGAGGAGGCAAGGTGCATGGATTTTTGATCGATGGGCCTTTCACCAACGATTCCATCATGAATTTCTTCTTTCGCCCTTGTTGCCCTTCTGCATGACAGGCCATTACCTCCGAGCACAACTCCATGGAACCTTCAGGTATTCTCGGCTCGAATTTCAACAGCTTGGCATACTCATTTAACAAATGATACATATAGTCATAAACGTAGTCCATCTTTAGCTGCTCCTGCATAAAGCTACTGGCTGCCATTCCGATTTCATGTGCCTGCCAAATCCGAATACCGTATCAAGTTTAACAAAGCCCTTGCCGGAATACCAAGATCATATAGTTCAAGCATTAAAGACAACTGATACCTTCTTTTTGTGATTGTTGCCCCAGTCCACAGAAAACTTAAGGGATCTGCATTTGTCGTCATCTCTTATAGGCCAATAGTGCTCCACGGGTTGCATGCTTCTCATGAAGAAATCATAGAACCGAGGCTGTACCATCAATGTGACAGAATCACAGGCCAGAATGTATTTCTCGCTAACAGACCATGCATATCCTTCAATGTATATCTTGTACCTGGAAAAACCATGAATTTGTGAAACAACAGGAAGAACAAAAATTACATATTGATTGCCAAAATATTCACCTATACGCGCATTGATCTGCAACGTTGGATTGTTTAAAACCTTGCTGGCCTTCACGGATCCAGTCCTACAAACTAAGCCTGTTAGTTTTTTTAAATAGCCTAGGATGATTATGAGATAATATTTGTTTAGAATTTTGATTAACAGTTTGATTTTCACCTGGATAAACAGGCGGGCATTCCAGTCTTGTTGATCGGTGACATTGCACTTGAGAAGATCCTGCCTATTCTCAGCCACGAACGGATTCCCCTTCCAGTAAGCATACGGTTCCCTGTCAATCCATTTGATCTTTTCATTTCCCTGTTTAATATCCTTCAATATGCTGTCCCATGGTTTTATATTTATCTCAGCCCTGAAGAAAAAACAAAGAGCACTTATAAAGAATGTAAGAATTATACCCAACTCCTCATATAAAATGACTAATGAACTTGGGAAAACGCGAATTTCCAAAGCATTTCAGAGTTTACTAGTGTTATCACGTGCCGTGAAAATGGTAGACCACTTGTCAGTGAACAAGGGACCCATTAGCGGCATGCAACCGAAGCTGCAAGTGCAGGCCATTAATAACATTTGGCATTTAAGTTACATCTAGAGCTGACGAGTGTGTTATGTGTATTATACCATGCAGATGTCAACAAGCAGGGCAGGTGAAATGAACGACGAAAAACGACAGGGGGGTGGAGTTATAAATTTGTAAAAGTGGAAGCGTTACCATCCCCAAAAGGACCAATCAGGGAATACTATATCCAACGTTTCTTTGTCTCCACAGTAGCGAAACAATGGCGGTGGGGCTGTTGAATTCGGTCCTCTGTACTCCCTTGACTTGATCACCGGTCTGTCTTCGGTGTCGAACATGATTTCAAGGTCCGGTAATCTTCCGGGGTACTTTCTGAGGAGTTGCAGAATGCCCCAGATGGTGAAAACATCTCTTGTTTGAATGGCTTGTCTGTAGCCTTTAACGTAGGCTTTGCCCCCTTTGATTACCAGGTGAAACGTCGCTGATCCGTTTGCCCTTTCCACCATGTCCCTGGTGATCCCGGAGGTTTTCCAGGGACGTAAATCTTCGTGGATCCATCTAAAATAATCAGGGCAAACAGGGTTTAACGAAGGATCAATGTCTTCTGTTCGGAACGACTTCGGATAATTCATTGGACAGGTTTGTGTCTGGTTTTTACTGATGGTACAGCTGAGTGGGATCTCAATTCTCCGTATGGGAACTTTTGGTTTCTTAGATACTACTATGGTATTGGTTTTACCCTTTGAATTCTCAATAAGAACCCCAAACTGCAAAAAAGAAGCAAAACAAAAACCTCAACAAACATGAACCAAGAATTGCAGAATCCACCATGAAGCTAGAACTAGATTTAGCAGTACTTACAGTGTCAATCCATGAGGAATATGTAATCAAGACAGCCATGAGAAAAACAGTAGAGACAAGAAGAGCTGCTGTCGTTGGGGGTTTTCTTTTCGGTCCAGATCTCTGCAACATGGAATCTTGTAAATGCTGCTTTGCCCTTTGATTCTCGAGTTGATAAAAGCTTGCTTTTAACACTAATGTATGAATTTCAGGGGAGTGATTCCGTGTTGATGACGGCGAAGAGGAATAGTATTAAACAAGTTCCAAGTAAAACTTTGGTAAAAATAAATATGGTTAAGCTAATGGACAAAACAGAGAGCGCAAGATATAAAATTCCAGCTCTCCCCCTAGAAAGCGATGATGTTTTCTAGTAGTGGAGGTTTGCTTAAACGTTAGAATTGTCATAATTGGGTTCTCCACGAGCAAATGCAAGTAATTGGATGGAGTTGGGACCATTGGAATTTCTATGTACTAAATTATAAAAGCTTCTGCGTTACTTTTCAGAATTCAAATAGTTGGTAAAATTATGATTTTGGTCCCTTATTCATAATCATTTAGAAATTCAGAATCCAGTTTATCTGCTTTTAGTGTCATACCATTATGACGCAGTGCATTTGGTTGTTAAGCTTAGGCTTTGTTTGTTGTCCCCATGGTTATCAAAACCAAACCGGACCGTTCGGTTTAACCGGTTGAACCGTGAACCAGTGGTCTGTTCGATCCGGTTATCTCACAAAACCGGACTGGCAATGAACCGGTTGAAAACCGGGATGAATCGGCTAAAAACCGGCAAAACCGCCGGTTCACTTTTTTTTCTTTAAAAAAAAATTAAACCAAACGACGTCGTTGTTCAACAAGCCAAGTCAAATTCGAGTATTGCTGAGCTCGACTCGAACTCGAAAACTTTAAAAGTAAGCTCAACTCGACTAAAAAACTTACGAGCTAAAAATTATCAAGTTCAACTCGAACTCGAAATATAATATTAAAACTTGAACTCGAAAAGGCTCGAACTTAAAAAAAATTTAGAAGTTCGATTGAAGCCTAAAATTTGAGCTCAATTGAAGCGAAAGAATAATTCGCTCTGTGCTCACCAAAAGGCTCTATGATTTTGAATGTCCAATTACCTCTATTATTTATAGAATTAAGTCGGGATGCTCTTCTATGTTTCTTAGCCATGCGAGATTGTTTTGTTCTCATATTTTTACTCTTTAAACTTTTGGGATGCTCTTCTATGTTTCTTAGCCATGTGAGATTGTTTTAAAAAAAAATTAAACCAAATGACATCATTTGTTATGATTTTTTTAAGCTCCAATTTTATTTTTTTTATTATAGTTATATAATTATATTTATTATTTAATATGTTTTACCTTAAATATTATGTTGTAGTTGATTTGAATCATTTTATTTCACTTGATTTTATGGTTTTTTAATTTATATATGCTATGACTTGTGATATTTTTATATCTTTTAATATTGTAAACTTAAAAAAAATGTTACATATATATTAATATTGCTTTGAATATTATGTAAAATTAAAAAAAAATTATTTTATATAAAATCCGATTCAACCGTGATTGAACCCGGTTAAATCAATGAATCAGTACCTTCACCGATTCAATGTCCAATCCAATTTTAAAAACATTGGTTGTCCCATATTGGTTTAGATTCGTGTGTAGTGAGTTTCCTATAAAAAGGATTCTTCTTTTGTAAATTCTAAATATGAAGGGTATGAGTTGATAGTTTGGGATCAATATGAAAAGAGGCCTACCGCCGTCCTACGTAGAAGGGTAGTTTGGAAAACCTTTAATTAGAATTTTCACCGTCTAATATTTTTAGGGTTTGTAAACTTATTATTTTATTACTGTGTTTAAGCTATACGTGATCAGTTGTCTTTTAAAAATTTTAAATTATCATATATGTTTGGATATTTTTTTATATTTTCATTGATAATTTATTTTTATCTTCCATATTTTTATAAGTTATTTTTTAATTTTTTTAAAAATCTACCTTTAACAAAAAAAAAATCATATATATGTCCTTAAATATGCGATTTGTCCAATTTCCCCTACCTTGGTTACATAACTTTTGCTGAATAGTAAGTAATAAGGCGACAAGAACCGGTAGACATTAGGTGGCCCAAATTTTCAATTGTTAGAAAGAAGGAAATTTCTGCGGGGTCACGTACTTGTTCTTAATAGAAAATAACCCAAGGATAATTCTTTTTCAAAATAGGATTGTTTCGATAACGATTCCTTAATCCCTCTTCTCGATCCAGTGTGGAAACTTTTTAAATTAGTGTATAATTTTCTCCAAGGAGTCGGCAAAAGACAGCAGCACATTTGCTGTCTTGTTTGTGAAATGTTGTTCACTTGTCAAGTGTTTCAGAGTGATCTCGGTTGGACTGAAAAAAAAATTACAGCTAGCCGACAGAATTTGCCCATGAAGTGGTTTCGAAGCCAGTATAAATTGGTTAAATTGGGCTTCTCATCACTTAGTTTTGACCATATTTAAATTTAAATTATTTCATTTTTCTCACACGGAAGTTAAATCAGAAATATTAAGTGATTGTGATTTTTTCCCCCGCTAACATGAATTATTTTCTACTGACATGGAAGTCATCATATTTTTGTTTTATTATTATTTTATTTCTTTTAACAATTTTAAAATTTTAAAATTTTAAAAGTTTCATTCACATCTCATGTTGGTGTTGATGTTATCATTTTCTAAGTCTCCTTTGATCACTCGAAACATTAACGAATGTATCTCATCGTCTTCTATCATTTTATTAATTTATTTATTTTTCTTAAAATCCCATTAAAATTATTAAAATTGTAATATGAACTCAATAGAAGATATCGGGTAATTGCTCAATCATCAATGTTGACAACGGCTGTTTTGTTTTAATAGTTCAGATGATTATAAGGCATGAGTGATTATAAGGTAGTATATGTTTAAAATTTTCTTAATCATAGATAATATACACAAATTTTGCAGACAAACTCTACTCAAATAAAGGACTTCTAGAAAGAAACAACTTTTTAATCACTAAAATCATTTTAAAGATTCATAATGACCCATTTAAGATATTCTTACAGCATTATATATATATATATATATATATATATATGCAACATCCTTGATGAGCTTCATTGAACAATGACTTAATTTCCTCTTAGAATTTAATTTGATTCTTCTTAACGAATATATAAATTAAAAGGAAATGGAAAAATATAGGAAACCTAATTTAATAAAAAAAACAGGGAAATATCAGCTTATTAATGTTAATTAAAAGTAAAAAGTTTGATTTTAATAGATCTTTATTAAATAAGTTTTTTTATAATCAATTAATTATTTCTATAAATAGAGATTAAGAATTAAGTTAGAAATCAAGTTATATGTGATATTTCTCAAAAGAATTTTTATATAAAGTTTAGTTTTCTTTATTTAAGATGGTTCTATGTACTTTCATTCTAAGAAATATCCTGAACAGGTACTTTAATTTTATTTTTTTTATTTATATATACACAAAGGTGGATACATAATATCAACCTTTTGAATTGCAGGTGGTAGTGAAAATTATGACCATGAATGATGAAAAGACAAAGATGAAAGCTATGGAGATCGTTGCCGACATCTATGGTACAAGACTCAATCAACATATTTATTTTCTCTAAAACCATTCTCTAGTTTCCAATGTGGGATTTTGATTAACTGGCGTCGATTCAATAGCGGCGAATGTGAGTGAGCAGAAGCTGACAATCGTAGGAGAGATGAACCCGGCTGCCATTACTAAAAAAACTCAAGAAGATAGGCGAAGTTGAGATTCTTACCGTCCGACCTGCTTAAGGAAGAAGAAAAAAGATGGGAAAAAAGTGATTATTTGAATTTTAATTTTTTTTTTTTATATTTAACTATAAAAATTGAAGAATGCGTTGTCTGCAATCTGCAGATCCTTTAGTTCACCTACATGATTAAACATGGCAATAATATGATATTTACTGTTTTACAAAATTAAACACATTGTTTTGAAAACCGGACCGGACCGGTTGTTCAACCGGTTTAACCGGGAATTGATGCCTAGTCCGATTCAATATACATCGGTTGAACCGTTATTAGTGAACCGGCCAGCACTGCAGAACCGTTTAAACCGGACCGGCTGAAAACCGGGAAAAACCGAAAAAAACCGCCAATTTTATTATTTTTTTAAATTAAATCAAACAACGTCGTTTGTTAAACGAGCCAAGTCGAACTAGAGTATTGCTGAGCTCGACTCGAACTTGAAAACTTTAAAAGTAAGCTCAACTCGACTCAAACTCACGAGCTAAAAATTATCAAGTTCAACTCGAACTCAAAATATAATATTGAAACTTGAACTCGAAAATGCTTGAACTCAAAAAAAAATTAGAAGTTCAATTGAAGCCTAAAATTCGAGCTTGATTAAAGTGAAAGAATAGTTTACTCAATGCTCACCAAAATGCTTAATGATTTTGAATGCTAAATTACCTCTATTATTTATAGAAGTTAGTTGGGATACTCTTCTATGTTTCTTAGCCATGTGGGATTGTTTTAAAAAAAAAATTAAACCAAACAATATTATTTTGTTATGATTTTTTAACCCCAAATTTATTTTTTAATTATAGTTATATAATTATATTTATTATTTAATATGTTTTACCTTAATTATTATGTTGTAGTTAATTTGAATCATTTTGTTATTAACTTATATATGTTATGAATTGCTTTGAATATAACTTGTGATATAAAAAATTATTTTTTATTAAATATTTTTGGTATTTTTATTTAATTTTTTAAATAATTATGACGTCGTCCGGTTTTTCCGACATGTCGGACTGATTGAACCAGAAAACCGGTAGCATGATCGATTCACTAACCGGTCCAGTTCTGAAAACCATGGTTAAACATGCTTCATACCATTTATTGCAAGTTACTTTCCTGTTTGACAAAATATAAATTTTGAAATATTAATGTTTAATTTGTAATTTTTTATAATTGAGCGAAAAAATATAAACCCATAATGGATGACCACATATAATTTTCCTGTTTTTCACTTTAATCTCTTTTAAAAATTTATTTAATTATTATAAATTTATTTTTAATCATTTAGTGATTCAACAGGTTGAATTTATTTTTCTTTTATAATTTTTTATTTAATTATTATTGAACTGATGAAAATGGAAAAAAAAATTATGGTTTGATTACTTGGATCACCGCTCAAATTCTTACAACATTGCAAAGAACAACTCATTTCATACTGGGGAAAAAAGGAAGTGTATACGACCGAAAAGCACAAGCTTTTTCATATTGCCACTGGTCATCAGCAGTGTGATAGAAATAAGTAAGCAGTAGCACCAGAAACATTAAACATGGTTCACAAACATTGTTTTCCTTCTACCAAACCAAACACGAAAACGGGTGAGATCATCATATCTGTAATTCATGATCTCGTAAATGGAAGTGAAAGTCTTCTGTTCGGGATTCAAAGGTTAACCACGTTATCATCATCATAGATAGCAGTCAGTGTGTGTGTCGGTCTTGACGTCGATCCTGCTGTATCCCGTTATTTGTTTGTTTTTATGTCCACCAACTGTTCGTCTAAATGCTCCAATAACCCAGGTCGTAGCTGAGCTGACGACCGCATTTTGCAATGGACAAAATATCCGCTGTTTGTGCCATGGAATGGAGCATCCAGCTCGACAAGGCTCTACGCTCCAATAACCCAGGTTTCAGTATTTTTTGTTTTTGTTTTTCATTTTCGCAAATTCCAATACATACCCATTTCATCATCTCCTTCAGTTTGATGAGTTTTTCCTTATTCAGCCCGAGCAGTCGAGGCCATTTTACAAACAGGACAAAGACTGGAACTGTGGGGACGAGAACCTGAAGCAACTAAGGCAGTATGCTGTATCTTCGGTTTAGTCCCTGGCGAGGATAGGCTGTTTGCGAATACTTTACTTTTAAGGCTTGCAGACGCATTTCGCTTTGGTGATAAGAAAATCAGGCTGTCTGTTGTCAGAATTTTCTTGACAAATATCAGGTGTGATAAGAGCAACAAATATAGGAAGCAAAAGAGACGAACGTTTCTAAATAGCAGAGTGTATAACCATGAAGAACTGTTGAGGAGAGTGAAGATTGTTTTGGACACAGGTGACGTTGAGTCGAGAGCAATGGCTTTAGTTCTATTTGGTTGTTGGGCTGATTTTGCAAAAGATAGTGCAGAGATACGGTACTTGGTACTCTCCAGTATGGTCTCTTCTGATATCTTGGAGGTGATTCTGGTGGCTCAACATCAGTATTTCTGCTGCAGAAAATGAAATGTTCTTGTTGTTATTAGAATATTCCTTCTAATCTGTTTTTCTACCCTTTCTTTAAGAATGTGATTACCTGAGCTTGTTTGAGCTTAAACTAACGTGCTTAACTTAGATTAGGACCATGTTCTTGTTGTTGTTGTTATTAGAATATTCCTTCTAATCTGTTTTTCTACCCTTTCTTTAAGAATGTGATTACCTGAGCTTGTTTGAGCTTAAACTAACGTGCTTAACTTAGATTAGGACCCTCAATCGTGTTAGACATTATATAAGCTCTCAATTTCACTCATCTGCGGACACTTATCTTGCCCCATTAGATTAGCAACCTGCCTTCCCGAACATCGAAAAAATAAAAGATAAGAAACACTATTATTGGCTATGTCATTATTTACATGCCACTTAAAATAACTTACTTTTGGAACACAATAAAGGCTTATTTTCTGCCTTTGCATGATTTCTATAGGTGAAAGCATCATTTTTTTCTGCCAGTCGGTTTTGTGAGTTAACAGCTGACTTTGCATTTGTTGTCTTGGAGATGCTGGTGAATATGATGGCTTCCCCAGAAACACCTGCAGCTGTAAGGTTAGCAGGTGCAAGTGTTTTTACTAGAATGAGTTACTCATATTCAGTTTCAAGAAGAGCTTACAAGGTTTTGTGCTCCCTTCTCCTCTCTCCCATTCACTCATTTCCTGAACCATGAATATTTGAATTTGACTGTCTAAATACATCTTTCTGCTAATTGTGCAAAATTATGACCCGGCCTGTAAAGGACAATTTTTATCCATGAACGTATCATGGAATGGTACAAGGTTTCTCAGGGCCTTCTTGGCATGTTATTTTGAAGAGGCATTTATTGTTAAATTAGTTATTGTCTGTTTCATCCATTTTATAGAATTGATTCTTACACATGAGGCGCATTGCATATGCCTTCAAAAAAATTTCAACATATGATACTCCTATTAGGCACAATAGGGTGACCATCGTTGCTATTTACTGTTACTGTGAGGTACAATTGATCTACTGGTTCCATATGTGATGCAACGATAGGAAGATCTCAGTGACAAGTAGAAATCAGTATGATATTCAAATAATTAATTCCTCCTGCAAACTCTCTGTTTGGAATTTTTTGATCTTAGCTCATATAAGTCACTACTTTCTTGCAGAATGGTGTAAAGCTAGTGTCAGATTCTTCAGAAGAGAATTTCATCATTGCCATGCTGGTTTCACTCTCAAAACTTGTTTCCAAGTCAACAAGTCTTATTCCTGAACAGGTATTCCTTCTAGCCCCAGTTCACGTGGTCAGGGCAGGGCCGGGTGTAATGCTTATTCTCAATCTCTCTTTCTTGCAATACATTTCATGTGGGATGACTTTCTTAATATGTTTGTGTCTTTCCATTTGGGTACAGGTGGATGTGCTTTTGCGATATGTTACCCAGGAAAATAGTTGGCAGATTCGAGTAACAGCATTAAGGTGTTTGCATCTTATTTTTGTAAAAGAAGGGTGTTGTTCTCTTGTAAATATGTACATGATCAAAGCTTTATTCAGCATACTAGATGAACTGGAACTTCCACCAGTCATGCATTGGGGAGCTCTCCAGATTTTACATAAGGTTCTCTTTAAGCAAATCGTAAATGAGTTCTTTAGTGTCGTTTGATTTAAACTTTGTTGATCATTTTGGGCAATTTGCAGATCCTTTTGTATACGTTACCTGGTCTCCCTTCTTTAGAGAAGCTCGAATTTGCTCAGCTATTAGCCATTCTAGAAAATGCATCCCAGTCCCCAATCATGTCAAAGAGCCTTGCAGCTCTTCGAATTCTTACATATATGTCAACGGTACTTCGGGCAAGAACAAATAGTGAATCTTTTGCTGTTTATTCCTCACCTCTGCCAGTGCAGGTCATCACTTTAGTTATGACACAGGTCAGATCACTGGTGAAGCCATCATCTGATCTCTGCCAGACTAGTAACAGAATGTTTCAAGAAGTTAGAAACCTTCTTAATCTTATTCTTCAGCTTGTTGGGGAACATCCGGATTTGGGTGTAACAGTGTTGGGTGAAATCAGTTCATTCATCAAATATTTTGCAAATCTAAATGAAAATGTTTTGGCTAGTAAACAAATTGCTTCAGGTGAGGTTATTGACTTTAAGGAAGATATGGGCAAAGCCTTCAGGTCCAAGTTGTTATCAAACATACACCGGTTTGTGTCCGCCTGTCTTCAAATCCTCAATGAAGCTGGTGCCATCACTGCCAGTGTCTTTGACAAAGTACAACTTCTGGTGGAGCATCTACATCATGGCAGGGTATTTGATTACTATACACGTACCATTTACTCTTTGTTATTGCATTCTCGTCTTGTTGGAATTCTTACTGAACACCCATTTAAGAAAGAACTTGGTACCCTTGAGCATGCCTGCAAGATGTTGTCAGAGAGGGATAACTGGCATGCCTATAAAGCAGGAATATATGCAGCAAGTCAGGGAGCATGGATTACAGCAACTTTTGTTTTTGCAGAGCTAATTAAAAGAGTTCAGTCTGATTCCTGTTACTGCTGGCTTAAATCGCTAGTTCAGTTTTCCCATTCTGAGGCAAAACTCTGGCTTAGTTCTTTGGCAAAGCAAGAGTCTTTCTTACTAGGTTCAGTGGGAATGAATGAACTCCTTACGTTTTTGAAAGATAATTTTGGAGAACTTGGACAACATCTTGCAGAGAATGACAGTGTGCTCAATTATAGGGATACTCTTTTTGGGGCGTACCAAAATGCATGTTCTTCAATAAAAACATTAGAAAGAGTAGTCATATCTCGAAAAGCATTCTGTTTCAAGAGATGGTTCTTTTCTCTCAGAACAAAGTTACTTGGGGCTGTAGGCGAAATTCTTGAAGTGTTGGACACATCTAAGCAGGAAATTTTTAGCAACATAATTGAGGTTCAGAACAATGCTTTGACTAACGTCAAATGTTTAGAAAAATACACTCACTTTTCTTTCCGGTTGAACAGACTAGCAAAGGAATTGGATCTGATAAACTCATCTTTCATTGGTATGGATAGAGAGAGTTTGAAAGTCATTGCAACACTTGCACTTAGCTGCTCAGTATTGGCCTTTAGTACCGGATTCCCAGTTTTCTTTCCAAACCTCCCTGCTCAAAAAAATTTAAGAACTTGTGATCGAGAGAACTCAAAGCATAGCGATTTAAGATCGATGCTACTGCAAGATTTGCTTGGGCGTTTATTGCATATTGACCAAGAGATTAGCATGGATCTCTGGATACTTTTAGAGAGTGGAGGATGTCCCAGAAAATGTTATCACCTGCAGTCCAGAAATTGTAAAATGAAAAGTGGGCATGAGGTAAAGGATATACTTAATATAACAAGGTATGCAGTTTCGACTGTGATTCGTCTGCAAAGCGAGACGAACAGGATTGAAAATGAGGCAATCATATCCCAAGTTACGAAGAATGGGATAGAGCTACTATTAGACATTATTAGGAAATGGCTTCGAATTCCATTCCAGATGCCAAAGTATTTTTTTCATACAAGGTATATCGTGCAAACTGTTTCCAATAGTTACTTCTTTTCTCTGCACTTTTTCAATAATAAAAAAAACTTTTACTACCTATTGAAGATTAGGTAAGCTCCTCCATTGCATAATGAGCTATAGTGTCATCTTCTGCAATCGATTTCCCCCCTAGAATTAGAGTGGAGCTGTTTGTGATAAATGATATATGTTCAACTTTTCTGATGTTCTTGTTTTTGAAATATTGTTAATCTCCAGGCCATTCATTGGTTCAGAACTCTTTGTCTTCAGCACAGACACCAAAAATCAAAACCAGATTATCGTGTCGTATGGCTCTCACCTCTCGCTAAATCTGTGTCTTCAACTGAGAAATGCCTCGCCCGAATTCTCACTTAGATTGACCAAGTTGTACTGTCTTCTTCACAGTAGAGTGTCCTTTCGGAAGCTGTCCCACAGGGAAAGAAACAATGAAGAAACGGAATCGAATCTTCAACCTTGGAAAAGTGAGGACATGGTAGAAATGAACGAGAAGTTATTCCGCTACGTAACAGAGCGCGAAAAGAAGACTAGTCATGGTAAGCGTTTCAGGGACAGTGATACAAATGAAGAGCAAATAGCGAATGAATTTGTGTGCTTTGAACCAAATGCTAGAGGGCAAGGATTTTCAAGTTGTGTACTTGATGTGTCTCATTTTCCAGTGGGTTCTTACAGAATAGAATGGTATAGCTGTTGTATTGACAGTGAAGGATCTTACTGGAGTCTTCTGCCATTGAATACTGAACCTGTATTTACTGTGCAGCAATCTCATGTTATTGCTCAAGTTTAGATTTAGATTGAGCTCTTGTTAAAATTATATACATCGTCTTTGCTACATTTCTTATTTATTTGTTTAGACAATATAATTATTTATTTATGATTTTAAAAATTTGTGTAAAATTGTTTGTAACTCATCATATGAACTACAAACTGTCAGGTAATTATTATTTTTATTAAAAATGTATGTGAAATATATATTCATATATAGAAAAATACAAATTTTAATTAAATTCTTTTCATTAAAGAATTGAATCTATTGAATGGTCTCGATAGTAAGTGAGAATGTTATTCTTTTTAGAGGATTTGTATTCGAATAATTTCATTTGTAAAGTGTATATATATTGTCAAAATTAATCTTACTTGAAAGACCAACAATCATGGTGTATCTTGAAAGATCGAACATGATTAGGAATGTGTATGGATCAAATTGAGATTTTGACCGATTTGAATCTAACTTGAGCATTATATCTCCCTATTTATCATTCAATTCAATTTAAAATTTATTTTGTAAAAATTAATCGAACATCATTTTATGTGGATTTGACTCTACTTATCACTACCATAAAAATAAATTTTATAAAATTTTGTAATTTATTATCAATCAAACTTGATAAGTTTAGTAATTAATACAATTAAATTTACTAAAATTAGAGGATAACTAGACGAAAGATGTAAATTTAATGAAAATGAACTCATGAAGAGATTTTAATGGTTAGAGGAAATGTTGTTCTTTCTTGAAATATTGAGTTCGAGTAATTATGTCTGTATAGTTTGTATAAGTTATCAATAATAAAAATTATAAATAAATATTATATTATAATCATTTAAATTATTGAAAATAAGAAAAGAAAAACTAAATGACCAACGACGTCGTTGCAGAAATAATAAAACTGCAAAATTACAAAGCTATCCCCCAATACTGACCTGTTTTTCTAGTTTAAGTTTCTCCATATTCGTCTCTGTCACGATTCTCCGCTCTTTCTGCAACAAAATTGAATCCCGTTTAAGTTTTTATTCCTTTTTGTAAAAACCTTTCTTTAAAAAAAATATTACCCGGAAAAACATAAGATTTTCGCCGTTTTAATTAGTTATCTATTCGGAATCACTGGAGATTTCTAGGGTTTTATTTCATGTACGACGGAGCTTTAATGTCTTATGAATGGAGATTTCCTATAGCCCCTCCATCGCTCTCCATTCCCATCAGTCATTGATCATAGCCACAATCGTTACCCTACTCCCACTCCTCCTCGCCGTCCGGTCATTATTCAAGAAGCCTCACAAATCCAACGTCTCTGCTCCCGCCACGTCAACCTGGAAAGAGGAAACCAGACAAGCCACACCTTCGTCTTCCTGCAACGGCACTACCGATTCCGCGGCCTTTCTTAACGAAGGTAGGGCTGGTGCCGTGGAGGATGAAATGGTAACGGCGGATGTTTCCAAGGTAGCGGCGGAGATGCAGAGCGGGGAGTCAATGATGGAGCAGCTGGTGCCCGAGATTACCACTCACGCGCTTAGCTACTTGGATTATCCGAGCCTTTGCCGGCTTTCTATGACTAATTCGCTGATGAGAAAGGCCGCCAATGATGATAATGCTTGGAAAGCGCTTTATCACAAGGTACCCGGTTCCCCCAATTTTTGTTTCCTTTCGATTTTTATTTTATTTTTTGACTTCAATTTTGATTTTCATGAATTCTAATTTCTAATGTTCATAGTTTATTTCGCCTTTCATTGCATTTCCAATGACGGTATGAATTTGGTCTTTCATTATTTATTTATAGTTCATAGTTTATTGGGAGAAAGCTGACTACACAGAATCATCGCATGGCTTTTTTTTTATCTCGAATGAAGAGATGTACCCGTCTTAATGCTTGCTGTTAATTTCCTCAAAGGAGATGAGCTTTCTTTTCCAAAATTTCACTCTATTCTTTTGTTTTATATGATATCAACTGTTATAGAGAATTGATTTAATTTTTCCCCTAATGGTGATGTTTTGTAATTAACTCTGTTCCTGTTCTCGATATCTTTCTCAATTCGATTTATTTATTAAATTTTATGCCTTAATCTTTTGTTTGTTAGGATTTTACGTTGGAGCAAGATAGTGTAACTCCGGTTAATGGGTGGAAGGCATACTATGCAGCTACAAGAGCCATAATGAATGTTAATACAGAATTCTTTAACATCATCAGGAATAGGTCTTTTCCTGCTATGAGTTGCTTTTGGCTGAATGCGGATTATGTAAAGTGTATTCACGCATCAGGAGAACATTTTTCAGGGTACAATCTTTCGGTCTGATATCAAGAAAATGCAGTTTACTTCCTTTTGTTCTTATGTTGGAGTGTTAAAATATCGATAACTTCTATCATTTTTCATCAGGATTCTGCAATTTAATATGAAATTTTAGCTTTGAGGTAGGTCTGGGTAAAATCTGAACAAAGCCAATAAATTTTGCCGTGTCATTTAATTCTCTTATCTTGTTCCTTGAACATTTTAATGTAGATGTTTTCCACCTTGAAAGGTATAAATTGCGTTTGTCATTTTTATGCCTAGTTGAATTTGTAATGTTGCATGGTTGATTAAACTCGAGTGAAATGAGTTTACCTATTTAAGATGTCTCTAGAGAAGAGCTTTAACTTGTAAGATGATCACTTGAGTGAAATGAGTTTACCTATTTAAGATGTCTCTAGAGAAGTTAGAGAAGAGCTTTAACTTGTAAGATGATTATAGTTTGCTTTTATGACATCAAAGTTGCTTGTGCCCTTAGTTGATAACTTGGTTCCTACATTGGAGTGCTTTATTGTATCTTCATGAATTGGAATAACGATGCATTTCTCTCTACTTATTATCACAAATCAACTACATATAAATAGAGTTCTTGACAAATGACGGATATTGTAATTTAAGAATCCGAACTATGAATGTAGCACCTACCATTTATATTTGAGTTGTATAAATGGAGGATGTATTTCCTATCATGATCGGGGAAAGCTTTAATGAAAAACATTTATTTCAAGATACATTGGACGGTAATATCCTTTTCTTTTTGGTCATCTCTTTTGTCACAAGCTTGATCTTTCATCACATTAGAAGATTGGATGCTTCAGTAAGTTGGTTAAGATTAGTTTATCAGCATGTAGAATGTATATCACCGTAGTATTTGACTCGATTAGGTTCAAGCCTTTATATCACGGGTTTGCTTTATATACCGTATTAACTCCGAGCACCATTGGGTTTTTACTGCATGCAGGTATAATGCTGTAATACAGAGTTGGCAGGTTGCATTTAATTGGGAGCAAGAGATTGATTTTCAGGTTAGAGATGTTCGAGCCCGGGTACTGACAGACATGGCATGGGTTACTATGAAAACCTTTGTTGACATAGATAGCAGACCATTTAACATGACGAACGTCTTTGAGTTCCATCACGGACGGTGGTACCTTGTACATCATCACAGCTCAGTTATGCTGCCTGCCGGTGGGGACATGGGACAACAGATTGTTGTTCATGGATAACAGAAGATGCAGAGTTAATACAAAGTGATAATTTTAGTACTAGCTTCAAAACATGGTACTGGTAATTTTATTTAGTTACCAAAAGCAAGTTGCTTGAAATTTCCCGGAATATCTTTTCAATGATCCTTTTATTTTTGGCTTTGCCATCTCAGTTTTGGGTATTTTCTGGTAAATAGGGGGCTCTTTACGTTTTAGTCCTTTGAATATTTGTTTGCCTCTTAGTATATCATGAATATGGATGTACATAACATATTTCTTCAACAATTCTTGACATGGATGTAAACATGTGGATTGAAGGTGGATTTACAAATCATAGATGTTGCATGATTTGCTGGATAAAGTGGCTAAAGGGTTGAAAGTAATCACCAACGCATGTGATAAAATCATTATGGATAAATTTATCGGCATCCATGGCCCTTAGCAAAACTACTGGTGGTTTTCATTTGCATGATTATCCCTTGATTGGCTTACAGCAAGTGTCGGGGGTGAAGCTAACGGGAAGTGGAGATTAGGGATAAGTAAAACTCAATTTGATTAAAAAATAAATAAATTTTTTAACTCGATTCGATGTTAAAAATTCAAACATACTTGATTTGATTAAATATTTTAAAATAAATTTTGAGTTATAAAATAGGACTTGAATAATTTAAAATTATTTGTAATTTGTGGGTGATTTTTCAAGTTTGATTTGAGTCCTTCAATTTTACATGATATGTGTATATCACATATGAAAACATACATATGTATATCGTATACAAGCAATTAATATCGTAACATTATAAATATTTATAATTAATTAAATAGAAACTCATAAAATTTAACTTGATTTACCTCGAATTTCATAAATTCGACTCGATGAAACTTCAAATAAAGTTTAAGTTATAAAATAAGATTTGTAAACTCGACTCAATTGAATGTTCATCTCTAATGGGGATAAGAATGGATGATCCCTCGATCCACCTATGTGGTCAATATATTTTTTTAAACTGATATCCTAAAAGAATAATTATATAAACTAGTTTTGATTATTTGTGTCGGAACCGTCTTTCGGGTGGGTCTGAAATTGGGCTTCGATTTAGGAAAAATGATTTGAAGTCGCCACCGATAATTTATTTTAAGAATAAAACGGGTTGATCGGATACCTTATTTCTTATCTGATCTGCGTCTTATCGAAAATGTATCGGATTCGGGAGTCTGTTACAATCAAGGAAGGGTTAGCACCCTTGAATTGCCCTTTCGGTACTACGTAATTTCCATTTGTCTTTAAGAAAATTGAAAGTTTAAATTAAAAGGTAACATAACGATCCAAATTACTTACCTCGAATAGTTTTAAAAGCGTACCTTTAAAAAGATAGAACTGTTAGATTTGTAGTGAAATGCAGGATCAAATTAAGATAGAAATTGCATCAATATGAACATAATAAACAACACAAAAAAGGGGAAAATAATGAAATAAAAAACTAAAACTATATAGATAAAATGGTAAAATAAATAAAAAAAC